ACTGCAGAAACTAGGACACGGTCTAGCGCCACAAAAGCAGACCCATTAAGGGCATAAAGTCTCAATGCTGAAACAAAACCATTGAAGCCTTAATCTCCTGATTACCCCATTCATTTCCTCCCAATCCTCCCTTAGGCCCCAAAACACCACGGTCACTAACCCTGAGCATTAGCTTAGCCTCTAACCACAGCACTGATTTAACTCGTATGAAACCATTTTAGATGTAATAACTGCCTCATAAAAACTAATTATTTCTCCAGGTGAAAACAGATTTAGACTTATTAGGGTGAGAACCAACTGAGTGAGAAATTTGTAAACCAATCCAACACCTTGCAAAGGCAGAGCTCAAAGTAGAGGGCGATGGTGCACCCGTCAACACTGTCTGACAGACAACAAGCCTGTTAACCCATAGATGTAATGTAATGTAGCATGGCTAAAAAGACCCCCAGAAACTGCAATTAAGCATGTAGTTGCTACACTATGTAAGATTATGGGATTTGGAGACCTCTCCCTGTCCTCTCTTAAAAGAAATAAATGCATGTAACACGCAGAGGAACACTTTGTGACATTGGCTGTGCTTTGGACCCCTTCCCCGAGGGGATGAATCTGATGATTGCAAGTGCGCTGAAAGTATGTTCAAAGAGAACTCAGCCAAAACTTAATGAAGGGCGTGTCTTTCGAGGATGTGAGTGAATTATCTGCTATTGTCATCATTTCTTCATCAGTAAAATGTTGAATTTGCATTTGAGACCTAAATGTTGACTCAGATAGTTTTTTAAGCCTGTTTGTGTGACGTTAATATGTAAAGATGTACGACATCTTCTGAAAAACTTCAGCACAATCCGACTCAATGCCTCTGATTTCTTAATTATTATTTAAATTACTGTATACATTTATTTATTTAGTCAGACTTTGCCACAGTTTGCCAGCAAAAGCTTAACAAGTTGTCCCCAGATATGTATTCTGTTTTTGAGATCAGGTAAGGCCTCAGGAGACTAGAATGTCACCAATGTGTACATTTTTTCAAAAAATGTGACCACAAATAATATCGGCCAACACAATCCTATCTGGTTAAAATGAAAGAAACTCAGTTTTAGTTATTAGTTAAACACTGCTTTACTGACTGATACAACTACCAACCGTCAATACGAAAGCTCTTTTCTTTAATTCCAACAGTCTTAGATATGTAAACACATAAAGCCAAAGTTAATAAGTTAATAATGTGATAAACTATTAACACCTCATTTCCCTAGCTTGACCTTTTAAATCGTCCATAGCCGTACAGGCTGAAGCCCAGCTGCAGCACACTGTACGTTGCTATAATTGAATCTGTGATTGTAGCCCTCTTGTTCAAATACAGCTTTAAAATGGTTGTTAAGGTGGTAGCTTGAGCACAATACACTGGACAGTGTTCACAGAAGACCAATGTATAAATCAATGAGTAGCAAAATAACCAAAACAACAAAGTGGAAAACCCCAGTTTCCCATGAGAGCCTCCACAGTAACAAGAATCCATGAGCTGTATGAACAAGAGTTAGAGGCTACAATCACAGAGGAGTTCAAGTGTTGACTTTCTATATGATATATGATATGTCGCTGCTGTTGGAACAAAACCTCATATCTCCAAAATGACAACTTTACAGGAGGAGGAAAAAACATACTTTACTTTTAATGCAAGTCAATGGAACCAGACATCTTTGAGTAATTTTGGGCCATTTCTTTCAGTCCATCCATCAACAGGTATTTTCAAACTATGCCAAAAATTGAAGTGACAAAAATGGAGATACAAGGTTTTGTTCCGACAGCAGAGACATAGACATTGGCTGGAAGATGCAGCCACATTAATACATTCTGAGGAGGCTTATTTTCTCCACTCATACAGCTCTAACAAAATGCACTACTTGGAATAAAAATCTTTAGGATCAAATTTAAGCAAATAACTTGATTAATTGCATTTATTTAAAGTAATATTGTTTGAAAGCCCTAAAAGCCACTCAAGCCCCATAACTCATCTTATAACTTGAGCTCTCACAATGTCGATCTGTCAAAACAAGGTTTTGGATGCTCAATGTGGTTCAGTTATCAATGCTTCACTGGAGAGATTTCAGCATCAATATCCTTAATATGAATATTTTGTACAATATATTAGTCATGCACACCAATAATGACAGGACAATGCTCTACAAGTCCATTCGTCTTGTTCACTGGAATGGATTTTTTATGGTAGAAGGTCTTTTGATAACTTGGATCTACTACACTACAGACAAAGCTGGGTTGCTTATATGAGCTAGGCATATAGCAATCATGTGTGAACAGTGTATAGCAGTCAAAATAGTTTGACCTGCTTTAGGCTGTGTGTGTGTGTGTGTGTGTGTGTGTGTGTGTGTGTGAGAGAGTGACATTTCAATCAGTTAATTGTGGCTTTGAAAGAACAGCTCAAAGTGTTCAGTTGCTTTAGATGATGAGTTAAAAGCTGAAGTGCTATTAAAAAAACTTTCTGACCCTCATTAACATTAAGCAAACACTCTAAATGAGGCGTGTTAAAAAAATGAAATATTATACCAAATTAATTAGACACTTAATGAGACCCATGATTGAACGTGGCTTGAAATGCCATCTTTTGCACTGGAGTTATGTGGTCAAATTGGATCGAAAATATGCATGTAATTGAAATGCATAACTTTTTGGCCTAAATATTTCTAGATTTTTTTGAGTATTGCACCTAACTTTTGGGGGCACAGTAGTTTTCAGTGCACTGCTCCCATCAAACACACTCAGTGATCTGCTCTGTGCAGTAGACAGTTCTTGTGTTGTGGCACACATATATGAACCAGCAACTGGAGTATTGGGTTTTGGTGAATCACAGTGCACATCTTCAGCAGCCAAAATGAAACCGACAAACCAAAATAACACTAAAACAGCTGTGGACTGGGAGTAGACTTGTTCTGCCTACTCTTCAAATCCAGTCTTAATGAAACCAGAGTGTGCAAGACATTAGAAACTGACTAGTCTATCTCTGTTTGTCCAAAAAAAACAATCATGAGTTATGAAGGACCACATCAAACATACAAGGTGATCCCACTCCCTGCATTTTCTGCACTTTGCCTGGACTTAGGCCCAGTCCCATTTCTTATTTTTACCCCTATCCCTTGTTTTCAAGTGAACTGTGAAGTGAAGTTACAAGGGGTAGTGGTTGAAATCTTCCCTATGAAATGGGACCCTCAAATATAGAAGAACATTACTTGATTAACAGGCTACTAGCGCTGCTCTGTAGGCGACCCTGCCAGTCAGTCTACAGTGACAGCAGAGGAGGGTAAAATTCAGCAACCTCACTGCTGGGCTTTAGTTACATTTAGGGAATCATATGCTTGGGGGACTTATTTATTATCTCCCACCCCTAATTCTTCAGTGATATGAAGCTGAACTCTATTCTCTTCGCCAGCTTCTTGTTCGAATTTTCCCATTTCACCTTAAATGGAGCAGCAGTTCTCATGCCTGAGGCACCAGAATGTAACTGCTGCACCATTAAAGGTGGAAGAGGAAACTTAACAAGCAAGCTACCAAATCATCAACATACTAATAGTGATTTTTTATGCTTGTTATGAAGAAAAAGACCATAATACATTGAAACGATATTAAACTAAGACAATACAATAGGTACTGAAATTTTTAACAAAGAAAATACTCACATTTGTGGGTTTCTTGCACAGCCCTTTTCTTTTTTTCCTCATAACACTTGTTTAAAGTGCGTCTCTGAATAACCTCCATTTGGAGGGCCATGTAGCCCCAACACTTCACCCTACCCCTCTATCTCAACAAAAATCAGGTCAACTACCCCTAGGCATGAATGTGCAAAATGGAGGAGTAGGGCTAAGTGGTAGGGGCAAGGGGTGAAATGGGATTGGGCCATACACTAAACCGACCTTGCAAAATAACAACAAAATCATCAATACTACTTGCTCAATGGCAGACCATGACTGTTAGAGCAAGGCCTTCAAGTTTGGGCCATAAATGTCAAAAACAGCTGCTCTATAATATTGCTAATTTCTGCAAGCACCTTGAAAGGACTCTAATAGTCATAGCAGTAGTAGTAGTAGTAGTAGTAGTAGTAGTAGTAGTAGTAGTAGTATGTTAGCATTTCTAACATCTGACTGAAATGAACAAAATAACCACTTGTTCCCGCAGGCAGTCACTTCCAGAAGACCTAAAGCAGGGGAGAACAACTCTGGAGGGCCAGTGTCCAGCACAGTTTGGTGATTTAACTACTCAAACACACCTGATTACAATTATCCATTAATTGGCAGGTTTAGTGGGTGTGCTAAGATAGTGAAACCTCCAAACCTTGGTGGACACCGGCCCTCCAGGACTGGAGTTGTACACCCCTGGCCTAGAGTGATGTTTTGCTTATGAAATTAGTCCCACAGATTAGAGTTCCTTATTATATTAGTGATTAATCGGACAGTTCAGCTCCTGAACTCCAGAGCCAGAGTGTTTTTTTGCAATAATAATAATAATAATAATAATAATAATAATTATAATGTAACAACAACAACAACAACAACAATAATAATACAACAACAACAACAACATAACGAGCCGAGCTTGTGGTTGGGGAGTTTCAAAATGAATGGGAGCGATAAAACAAGTGCAACTGCATCTTAGCTTGGGCTGCGGGGCACATCACCCCCAATCAGTCCACTTACAGAGATTAGAACATCCTTTCTTTCTTTTGTTTCATCAGTTTTGCTGCCTACAGATTGTTTCTCATCCCTCACATCATACTGATCTGAAATAGATGCTCAGCGCCTGCTGACTGAAGGCTGACTCAGAAAGGAATTAAATGAAATAAGGGGAAAGTGAAAGGTTGATATCAGTCCCACCAAGAGCCTAGAACCAATCTTAAGCAAGCCTGATACTTCCCGAACTTCACCAGGAGGGCCGATACCCACACACCACAACCAGATAAGCAACACTTCACATGTCCGACCTGATGAACTTACCTTTCTGTAGACCAGCATGTTCGGAGATTCATCCGCTACTCCATTGCTGCTCTGTCCATAGCTGTTAGTCTGCGCCATGCCTGACTAGCGTAGAGCACTCCTGGACGAGAGAGAGAGAGAGAGAGAGAGAGAGAGAGAGAGAGAGAGAGAGAAAGAAAGAAAGAAAGAAAGAAAGAAAGAGAAGCAGAGTAAGAAAGAGTAAGAGAAAGATAGTGAGCGTTAGAAAGAGAGACAGGAAGAAAACAGAAAATGAGGCAGTGTGAAAAACATGAAAAGACAGAAAATGCAAAAGAAGTGAAAGAAAGAAGACAGAGGAAAAATGAAAGAGGATTGAGAGATAAAGAGAGAGGGAGAAAGAAAGAAAGAAAGAAAGAAAGAAAGAACAAAAGAGAAGGAGAGATAAAAAGAGAGAGAAAGAGAAAAATATTGAGGGTTAGAAAGAGAGACAGAAAATGGAGAAAAAATAGATGAGAAAAAGAGTGAGTGTGGGGAAAATAGGAGAGAGAGAGAGAGAGAGAAACAGAGAAGAGACGAGAGAGAAAAGAGAAGGAGAGAAAGAAACAGTACAGAGGGAGAGAGAGGCAACAGTAAGAAAGAGTGAGAGAAAGACAGTGAGAGTTAGAAAGAGGGAGAAAGAAAACAGAAGACAAGATGGGGAGAGAGAGGATAGAGTAAAAAAGGAAAGACAGAAAAAGAATGAGAGAAAGGGAAGGCAAAAAGGAGGAGGTGTTAGAGAGAGAGAGAAAGAAAGAAAGAGAGGGGAGAGAGAGAGAATTGAGATATATAGAGAGAGGGGGGATTGAGAAATAAAGAGAAAGAGGAAGATACAGGCAGGGGAGAGAGAGAGAGAGAGAGAGAGAGAGAGAGAGAGAGAGAGAGAGAGAGAGAGAGAGAGAGAGAATATTAACGTGGCTACAGCGCTGTATAATATGTCGATATTCTGACAGTGTTGTCATCCTGAACGCCGTCCATCTCCGTCCGCTGTGAAACATGATCCGCGGGGCTGCGATGCGATGATACCTTCACAGCAGTGTTGTTCTGATAGCGCGAGCACGAGCTGCAAACAGACCTCCTTTCACCGCCTCCGTCTGTCCACACATTCAGTTAGACGCGGACACAACCTAATTACGCGGCGCCCCTAATGAAATCAGCGAGAACGCATCGAGGAAAAGGGAAGAAACGTGAAGAAACACGCGATTACTTTCGTCTTTTTGCCCCAGCCATAGCTGAGCGCGCGCCACGGCCACGACCACGGCAGAGAGGGATCAGCCGCAGCACTGCCGATGTGTTCACGGTCCGTGGCCGAGACGCGAGCGGCAGGATTGGAGACGAGCAGCTGTAAGTCGGATCCACAGCACTGAGTCCGGCTCTGAAGGCAGAGCGAGGGTTAACAGCGCGGCTGCACCGGACGCCGGACGGCCGGGAGCGAATTCAGCACGGCGGACAGCTACCGATGTGACGGCGAGCACTCAGCGCCGAGGCATCGTCGAGAGGTGGGCATAAACAGCGCGAGCGAAGGGGAGCGGAATTACCTGAAAACAATGGCCTGTCCTGCAATCCCTCCCTTCGCTTCAGATGCGGTGCAGTTGGTCAGCTGCCGGCGGGATGATGAACCATTGGAAAGGAAGGACAGGGCTGGTGCTGCTCTCTCGAACGGACCCAACTATCGCCCCAGCCGAGGAGAAGGAGGCAGGCAGGCAGGCGAGCAGCGGCGCGCAAAAATCTCACAACTGAACGACGTGCACGCGCCTCAACCTGCGGCCAATCACACGCGTTGCTAGCGCTGGCCCAGGAAAATAATCCTCACAAGGCGGGGGGCGGGGGGTGATGGCGGGGGGGGCCGGGGGGGGTTGACTTGGCTAACCAGCACACTGGTCATCCAAGCGAACTGAAATGCACAATGAAAAGAAAAATAAATATATAAACAAAACAAACAAACAAACAAGACAAAATGCTTTTGGTATGTATGTGCTGGATCCTACGCTGAACATCTGAAAAAACTGACCTAAATAGGTCCAAAAGTATCCAGACACCCTTTCTAATTTGTAAATTTAGCTGTTGTATCCCTTGGGTGGTGTTCAGGTCTGTGGGACCCATTTTCAATGTTTACAAAAGAAAAAAATGTGATTTATTATTATTTCAACCTCAGATTCTTGGCCTTTGCTCATTTTCTGTGAAGAACATATAAAATAGCCCATTTTCGGTGTCTTCACTCTGTTCACCCGCCGCACATTTATATTACACATGTGGTGTTGGGTGAACCTGCGGGGAATAAAAGTGTGGAGGTGCTGTGTCCTTCACTCTGTTATCCTCCTACATGGCCTGCTGTTAGTGTGTGTCTGTATGTGTTTGTGTGTATATATATAAAAAAATATGATAACAATAATAATAATAATAATAATAATAATAAGTGTGAGAGGATGGACAGCATGGACAGGCTGCTGACTGGCTACAGCTGCTAAAGGAGAACCTGTGCTGCCCACTTGTGATATTTTAAACAGCTGGTATTTTTACATACATGTTTATGGCTCTGTGTTAGTGGATCCACCAGACCACTGAGTAACAAAAACATGAACTCCACACAAAGGTTAAGGTGCCTAAGGTCAGCTATCCCAGATAGCAAGCATGTATCAGTCTGCTGGCTTGATAAAGTCAGCACCCCCTGACTGTTTACCACTGCTGGTCCACCCTCGGACCACCCAGTTTTAATCTCTCTAAACAGATTTTAAATGCACACAGACTTTTATTTTAGAAAATAAAATAAAGGCAGATATTACAAAGAACTGAGAGAAAAAAAAAAATGACAAGGCCTAATGTAAAATGATTTTATGGAAAATGTTGCTGGTGACAGACTAGATTAAAGTAATATACCAACTTACAAAGTATAACTCAAGAAAGGAAGGAAGGAGAAATAAGTCAATTGGACTGTTAGTGTAAAATGAGCAATGATACATGGAATTTTGTCTATTACTCTGCTTAACCACCAGCGGGCCGCCCTGGAAATGCTGAGCAAAACGCCAGCGGGCCGCCAGCTCTGCCATCAGCGGGCCAACAGTGGTCCACTATCCTCTTGCTATCAAGGTATGAAGTAGAAGGTGGCATCTGTGGTCCAGAACTGATCATCCAACATCAGTACCTGAGCTCAGTGATGCTCTCGTGGCTGAACGCAATCAAATCCTCACAGCAATGTTCCTAGAAGAGTCAAGGCTGTCACTGTAGCAAAGGAGGACAATTAACTCCCCATTAATATCATTGATTTCAGGAGAAAGGCAGTCAGGTGTGGACATACAGTGTACATTAGTGGGATTAAATTATACTTAAAGAAAGAAAACATACTGGAGTATTGTTAGTTTGGTCATCCATAAGAAAATGCATCAAGTGTGACTTCTGGAATTGATAGAAACCTTGACAAAGATGACCAAACAAAACAGTATGTAAGAGTCTGTTGCTTGACTGTACACAAAAATATGAGGTGAGATCTTAAAATCTGAAGATGCTGTTAAAAATGCACAGGAAATCTAGATGGCTAATAAGACGATAAGCTCAAGCAGAGCATTATGACTAATAGCCAATGCACCATTGTCAATTCATGTTGTAAATGGCACCTTTTTAGCTTTGATGGGCAGTAGCTGCCACCCCAGGTGGCCGTACTCTCAGAGGGGCTGTAAATTAAGCCAGCCGAAAGGGAAATTGGGTGCTGGGCTGGAAAAGTGTGCACATTTCCCCACGATGAAAGCCCCGGCCTTCTCTTCAGAGACAAGCTAATTGCAGGTCACGTGTCTTACAGTGACCCGTGATTCACTGGGCAAAGATTTATATCCACTACTGCTGTATGTTTGAGTTCAAACTGCATTTCAGACCCTTTAAATCAGAGAAATCTATCAAATTTAGACTGGATTCCAGGAGATCAAGTTCTCCAAGACTGCCAGTCTAGGATCAGTTTTCACTTTTGTCTAAATGAATATTTTTCTTGTTTTTATTCAGTTGACTGAACTAATGCAGAGTTGATAATTGAGTCTGAGGAGTCAGGATCAGGACTGAATACCACATGCAACAAATATTTGTAGGGAAAAAAACATTTATATCAGTGTATATGTACATCACTAAGAGCAACTGGTAAAGGCTAGAATGAAAAAGAGGGATGGAAAAAAGTTTGAGCCATACTTGGGATCACTCCTAATCATCCCACCTACAGGAATTAGCAACAGCTTCCCATCCTTCACATACATTTACATCACAATTCCTGCACACAGGTTGTAGAGCATACAGAGAACGTGATATTCTTTAGGGTGCCCCTGAAGGTTCAGTACTAGGCCTACTTTTTATTTCCTTTGTGCCCCAGTTGTGTCAAACTTTAAGCATCATGTCCCTTTACATCAAATGTGTCAAGTTCCAGTCCTTGTGCGCCAAAACACTGCAGACTTCAACACGCCGCCTCATTAAACACACCTGATTCAGCTCATCAGCTAATTAGGCCTTCATGAACTGAATTCAGAGTGTTAGACGAAGGCAAATGCTAATCTCTACAGTAGTTTGGCCCAGAGGGTCCCCAGTTTGACATGCCTGCTTTACATGTGTTATTTTTGACATACACTATTTAAATATACAGTTGAACATTCCCAGGTAATAAACAAATAAACAAACAAGTAAATAAGTTAATAGAATAAATAAGTTAACATGTCCTCTACAGGGAATAAACTTAAATATTTATATATAAATTTAAGTATACATTTTTCTGCACACATCACTTCACAATTTGTTAATTTGATGAGTTTGACATATAGTTAAATAATAAAACATAAAATACAAATTGTGTCATATACACATTTCCATAGGCCATATTTTAAGTTTTATTTTTTCTGCAATATATAAAATTCAGTAAATAAACAATAAGCAAATACAGAAGTGTGTTCTCTGTGGAGGATGTGTTATATTATTTTCTCTTAGAAAATTAGCAAAACATAGAATTTGACTGGGGTGCTCAAGTGGTTTTGCATACCACTGTACTGTAACGCATGTTATATTGTGTATGAAACAATACATAGATAAAGTAATTGTACAGCACATCTGGTCGAAATGGACTTTCGGTTGTTGGTAAATAAAGGGGCTATATTTGACATTTTTTGTATTTTTAGCATTTTCTCTGATTTACAGATTGTTTATGTGCCAGAAAAGGTCATATTTAATTTTTTACCTGAACATTTTTCAGCCTCTTCTCATCCCTTAGAATTTAACAGGCTGTTTTTGTTACTGTGGCTTTAAGACTGATATGTAAAGGACCTCTCTTCTGAGTGTCTACTCTGTGTCTTGCCTCACTTAAGAAGCAGTCCAGGCTGAAACACTTCTTATAACTGAATAATTGTAAGTGCTCTGGTTTTAATGACATCACAAAAGCAATACATTTGAAACAGGCTGTTTTTCACAGTTGTGTGCAAAAGTTCAAACACTGCCAGTGAAAGTACATTTGCTGATTTTCCAGTGAAAATAAGTTAATACATTCTTTTAAGGGAACACATTTAAATATGACATTTTCTTTGGAAATATTAATGCACACATTCATTCGCTTTTTGAATTTGACAGATTGGGGGAAAATACAGAAAATGTGCCTTAACCTTTGCACAGGCCACATTGTGTTTTATTTTTTCCCCAATACATTAAATTCACCAAAAACAGTAATTGTGCTCTGTAGAGGACATTAACACATTTAACAAGGGGTGCCCAAATTTTTGCATATGACTGTAAGGACAGATGTGAGAATATTTTGTCCAGTTTTCCATGATGAGAGCCCTTTAATGTTCCCAATACAACACCGCAGGCAGGGAGTGGCACTCTGAGATCCATGTGGGCCCTTCATGCTGTGCTAGTGGAGGCACTACAGCTTTATGATAAATACACAATTAGTGTTTTACTTTCTTTAGGTGAGTCACTAATTATTAATGTGCTCCCATATTTGCTGCCTTTTTCATCACATTCAAAAATGTATATGATCTGTTAGTGCCTTTAGGATAGATGTAAACATTTAGCGCTTTATATTATTTTCCTGTTTAGTTATTCCCCCAAGACTCTAATCTCAACCCTGTTGACTACTGAGGAAAAACATGCCCTCTTTGCCTTTAGCTCAGACACACTTTCATACAGATTTACTTGTTTTGAGCCACTCTGACATAATTGGCCCTCTGCAGCTGGCACTGAGACTACTGCACTCCATGAGGCATAACTCCTCTCAAGGACGACATGGAGCTGAGCCAGGCCAACGGAGCCCCAAGCAGATGTCCAAGTCTGCCACTGTGCGACATGCGTCAAGAGGAACTGCAAACTTGGGGTCTGGACGGCACTTTGAAGTAATGTCAGTTCTGAACAGATACGCCTCTCATGCTGCACACAGTACAAGTGCAAATACAAGGTGGGGCCTACTGTTGCTTTGATTAAGATCTGGAAACTATTCATACACTCAAACTATGAGTATAGATTCATTGCTCCAGAGTAAAACTTTAAGGAGAATTCCACAGATTTTTCAAAATTTCTATGCAATAGAGAAACTCTAGAGGAACTTCTTTGAAACTGCTTTCAATGCTTTTAAATATCCCCTCACAGAAAATCAGTACATGAAATGATTACAAATACGCTGCCTGATGTCTGAGACAATTTGACAACAGCATTGAGGAGATTTTGGCCTACACAGTATTTTATAAAAACCATTCATGGTTTAGGGGTACAA